TTCTCCAAACTTATTAAACACGAAATGTCAAAGAATGCTCTGGAAAATCCTCCCTCGTTTTCATCTGATATAGACCAGTGCCTAGTGTGTCTTAAAATTATTCTAGGACCTGGAGAGCTGGCAGTGAGCATGGACCAACCCTCAAGGGGTTTCCATTCTACAGTTTGCAATGAAAACTGTAAACAATTGCATAATTTGGAAAACAACGCACTTGTAAATCAAAATAAAAACCACAGTACCTAGGAATTCTGAAGGACATACAGGAATTAACACAAGTTGGCATGATTCATGACTGTCAAAAGCCATTGCTGGGCATTTGTTTCTCTATTCCAAGAGGGTCAGTCAGTTCCCTTACAAGTCTCCTGCCTGCAGTAGGCTTCACTTGGCATTCACATTAGAATAATTCTGCTTTGAGGGCTAAGTACATCTTCCTTTGGCTATTGAGGACTATAATTTGTGTTTTTAGTGTACTACAGTCTGTCCTATCTAGATGGAGGAGTTATTTAAAACAGCATCACTTTTAAGACATGACTAGCCCCCAGGGGATACATTAGAACAAATAAGAAGAGTGATTAAATTCCATGCTGCGCATCCCATCCCTAGCATCAAGGCAGAGGGCAGGGAGGTGTTTCAACAGTCACTCGCTTGCACACTACCTTTGATGTATTCTGTACAGAACAGAGACTCACTGTAATGAACACACCAAGTTAAAACTTTCCCTCCTGGAACAGAGCAGAAGGAAAGGCTCTTTATGCTGCAAAGACTCAGATGCCACAGGCAGAGCCTGTCCCAGAGCTTCCCTCCACCTTTCAGAAACTAAGCCATCTTGCTGCATTTAGCACTTCTCCCCAGACCACCCAGACACAGATACACAAACCACATGTGTGAGGAATGCTGCTCAGCTAGGAAATCAGTATCAGTATTTCAACCCTACTACTTGCACAGACAGCACTTTTAGTACATCTCATTTGTTTTCTCAATAGCTTTGATTATTTTCCTTTAATGACCTGGACTTATCCTTCCTTATGCTTTGAAATTTGCCCAACTTTGGGCTGGGGGCTGCATGTTGTGTAGAAGCCATGGTTACCAGAAGAAAATGAGCAAGTAGCTTTGCCTGTACTCCCACGGCTCCCATAGGTTCCAGCCACCTATTCTGTGCAACTTTCAACGGGGCTCCCCAAATCACCCTGTTACTGTGTAAGTGGATTCGAGTGTTTCCATCAGTGTGTGTGCACGGGGAGGGGGGTGTATATAACAGCCACAAGGCACACTTAGAATCAGGAGGATTCTGGTTTGGGCCATGCACCTCTGGCTAGCTTTTGGGACCATATTTGTTATGTTTCTTTAATTAAAGGGAAATTAAGACCAAGGTAAGAGCTAAGGGGCAATTTTAGCACCTTTTGAAAAGACTGGAAATGTCTCTAAATAAAGGGAGCACATCAACAGGAAGGTATAAATAGCCAGCAGAGAAACCAGCAGAACTGAAATTCGCTCAGCATTTTCTCTTTGGGTGGTAGATCTATCCCTGCCAAGGAAACCAATCAACTACCTTTAACTGACCCACCTTAATTAGGAAAACAAAAGGTACTAGTTTTGCACATTATGTCCCTAAATTACCAAGCAACAGGGTCTGGCTGAGACTTAGGCCTTGATCCTCAAACCCTGTCTGGGTTTCCAACATATCCAACTGGAGCACTGCACTGAGACTGCAGAACAAGCACTGTGGTGCAGCCCATTCACTCTCAGATGAGAATTTTGGGACAGCATCAAGTCACATTCAGCAGGTCCCTGATGCTGATTGACTTTCTCCATCTGAAGAAGATACAAGGCCATTGCTTCAACAAAACTAATGCCTATTTATGCTGAAAGATGGGAAGAGGTTAGTGTAGTTTGAGAGTGGTCAAGAGAGTTTTCCTGAGGCTTCCACACTATTATCCTTTCTAGTTAATAAGAGCCAAGGATATCCCTTAAATGACTTGTCAGTCCAAATGAAGAGAAGGTCAGCCTCTCGATGTAAGTTCTTTCACTAAGAAGACTATCATACCCGATTCTTCGGTTATTTGTCAAAATGAATGCCTTATGTTCTCTTTTGTCGTCGTTTCTGTGCTTCCTGTGCTAAAGTAAATGCTGGGATTTGTGAATCGGTTCTATCTAGCTTTAGCGTAGTGTTTAGTTTATAAACAGAACCTTCCAAAGGAGTAGTGGAAAAGGAAAAACCATGTATAAATAACCCAAATAGCTCATTGCAGAAATGTACCCACTATTTCTTAGTCAGTCTCTATAGGGTTTAAAACATATACCGGTTTCAGGACACAAGAAATACTACTAGACACTGGGTACCCAAAGATGAATGAGGAACGGCCTCTGCCCTCAGCTGGTTTAGGGTACACTGTCCTTTTGAGTGCTTTAGGCCTCTGCATCCATTTTTACTTAGAAACAGTATCTTAAAGCTAAGGGTTTATTCTTCCTGTATACAAGCTACACTGATCAAACAAATCTGTAAGACTACACATTGTAAAAATAAAAATAAAAGGAATCACAATAGATTAGTTATAAATTTAAGTAAAACACCCATTTCTGTCCATCTGTACCTTACATTTCAACACGGGTTTTAGAGATGAGAAATACATTTTATGTGTGCCTTGTAGTTCACATAAAAGCATATACACACATACACAGTGCATCTTTCAACATAACTACACATACACACTCCATTAGAAAGATACTGACAGATTAGAAAATGTGTTGGCCTTGCACTGCTAATCTTGAGAATACATTTTTACTTAATTTATTTTTTGCACTGAACAGCAGCTCCGGCCACCATCAAGAACTGTCAGCATTTCCACCACAACTCTGTTTCCAGAACATAAGTACAAGTGCCAAAACACATATTTACATTTTATAGACAATAGTGGCTTTGTCTTCCTTGAAATTGACTTCTTCAATGCATCTTTACAAGGAATATTCAGGATGGCAGTGCCCACAAAATAAAAAGCATCATATGAAACAGAGGAAACTGAAAGACGTAGATTTCCAGCCCAAGACTATATCATGGGAACTGATTCCGTCACATTATCTACAGCTGTCATCGTCTCTACATCATCATAGTCATAGTTTTAGAGCAACAGTCCAAAGCAAGATTACACACACACACACACACACACACACACACACACACACACACACACGTAGTACATAGCATTAGTACACTAAAGGTGGAAAGCAATAAGCATATAGCCGGCAAGCACAGACATTGACCATTTCAACACTGAACAATCAGCTCATTACACAGGTAGAGTTGAAACAAATAAGCACAAAATGTCTCTTAAGTTTGTTAACTACATTTGTAAGGCTTGAAATGGTAAATGAATGTTACAGAGGCTTAAAATTTTCATTGTTATTTTTAAAGATTAGGTGGGTCTGTAAAAGCTCAGTAAAAAACTGGTTTTGATGGAAGAAAACCAACTTTAACTTTTAGTGGAAGAAAACCAATTTTATTGGCTCTCTCTACAAAATGGTAATTATTCAGATCAGAAATTTGTTCAGCAATTTTAAAATGTTTAGGACGCTCTCTGAGGAGGTTTTGTTTTCTTTTCGTTCTCCTGATCAGGAATTTTTAGTTTCTTCCTAACTCTGACACAATATGCAAGCATATATAAACATAGCTATGTTACTCAGAGAGAGGGGCAGAGTGTGGTAGATATGAAATAACTGTACACATTTTTGCTGCTAACATAATTGGTATATCCTAAGACAGAAAGACCCCACCCCCACACACACACACATGAACACCAGACATATCCTGCAGCAAAACCAAAAGCTAATTTATAAGTAGGGGGGAGAGTGCTGTACATACATCTTTTTCCTCCTCAAATCACAGGGAAAAAATTTAACAATAGTTTATCATACTCTTGCTGGTCCAAACTACATTCACATTTACCCAATTACTTTTATTTGAAATACACACACAGACACACACACACACACACACACACACACACACACACACACAATTAAACCCTGCCATTTCCCCTTTGTTCTTAAAAAAACCAAAGCCACTGTTAAGGTACACATGCATCAAAATATTCTTTAACAAGTTTCAAAAGTGAGTGTACATAAATATGCCATCATGGAGCCGGATGCTTTAAGAGAAGTATTACACCTCTTAGAAATGAACTGAATGGAGTTCGTTACTTTTATATTTAAAAACTATGTGCTAGGAGTAAGAGGACCACTTGAAAAAATTCCACAACGTGACTCTTCTGCTACCAAAATTTTATGGAAAACTCATGAGTAATAGTTTGGGAAGTTTTTCTGAAGTTTGTTCAGTTTACAAACATATATTTCAGGATATTCTAAAGACATTTGCATTAGCTAATTTTCCAGATTTAAATTTTATCATTACAATAGCTGCCCTTCCTTTTTATACTCCTTTTAAAATTTTATTTCTTTGGGGTTAAGGGAATACTTTCTTATCTGACTTAGTTTCTTGGTATATAACTTTGGGAACAAACAAACAAAAAATGCCAAATCATACTTTACCACACAATTTTGTTATAAAAATAAAATGGTCCAAACTATATACCTATGTTTCTAATTAAATTATACAAATATATTCTTTAAACCACTTAATTTTGGTTTAGTCCGAACATGTGGATTTGCAGTTAAGAAATTTTTAAAGATTTTTAAATTTTGAAAACATTATTTCCATGTAAGTGTTGCCCTCCCCTTTCAACTGTAAAGTTAAAAATAAAACACAACTAAAACCACAGAATTCATTAGCTACCTGATATCCAGAATGACTGGAAAGTCATTGCACACTGAGAAGTGAACTATACAACAAATACTTCATGTTCAGTTTATGCCAATCATCATGAAGAATCAATATTCTTAAACGAGTCTATGTTTGTCCTCTGAGAAGGAATTTACAAAGACTGTGGCTGTATTATACCTTTTTTGTTAAAAAAAAAAAAAAAAAAAAAAAAAAAGAGAGAGAGAGAGAGAGAGAGAAAGTGTTTCTTTGGATAGAAACAGTGTAAAAACATCTTTTTAAAATGCAGAAATTGTTCCATTATTGATCTGCATTTACATTACTACCCAAAAGAATGGGTCCGGAAAGATCATTTCTGTACAGACATTGGTTAAGCTCTGAATGGACAGTATCTGTCATGGGGAACAGATGTGGGGACACTGGGCTGTTAGCACATGTAGAGACTTTAAGGCTGATCCAGTGACAAACCTTTGGATCCAGAAATATTTCTTCTTCTCTTTTTTTTTTCCTTTTCAGTTGAGTTCTAGTAAAACTTGGAAGGTGAACTGTTCTAACTTTTAATTCCTCCATTTATGGAGTATGTAGAATAATGACACTAAAAGTACTTCGGTTTTTTTTTTTCCTTTTAAAAATAATTCACTTTCTTTTGCATGCTACAGAACAAATTTCTAGTTTCAAAACAAAGGTACAACATGAACAAAAACTCCCCCCTCCCAACCACCTTTACAGGAAATCCTTCCGAAAACATCAGCAAGAGACCAAACAGGCACCAAACCACTGAATCTACATGTTAATACATAGTCTGTCATGGCAGAATAACCAAGAATTTCTCCCAAAGAAAGATTTTAATTTTTCAAAGATAAGAGTCTAAGAGAATCACACAAGAACAAACAAAAATACGATTCCTGGGGATTTTTTTTTGGGGGGGGTCTTTTGGAGTTTTTTGGGGGAGGGTGGATGAGTGCCACACTGGCAGGTGAAGACAGCTCAAACTCTCACTAATAAATATATCCAAATTAAGAGTGTCTATAATACTTCAGAAAACAGGCCCAGAATTCCTCTTTTTTAAACTGATGATCCTGCAGAATGCCTTTACTTCCCTATTCACCTAATATTGCAACAGTAAAACAGACACAAGAATGTTGATGACAGCTCAACAGTGCTGGATTGAGGATAATACAGGTACACTTTTGTTAAAAGTCCTACAGGTTTATTGACTAAGGCTAGACAGTAATCCATATGATGCTATTTGGTGCATTTTCTACCATGGTCCAAGATCATTACATGGATACAGCCAAGGACTGGGCCCCAACTTTTAGGGAAAAAGACTGCAAAGATGAAAATCAAGGTGGCTATTTGGTCCCCCAGTTGACAACTGTGTCCTGGAACTGGTAAAACAAAAGTTGAAAAACACAGACTGCAACAAGTTAAAGAACTTGGAAAAAGTTAGTGGAAAGTGGCACGGTATACGAGTAAGGTCACTGGGCTTGGGACGGCAAGGGCACTGCATTGAAAGAGCATCCATGGGACCAAGTACTTCTAATGTCTGGTGGTGTCATTCCCTTACAACTTTAGAATATCTGTACGAGATAATAAATAGATCAGTTATGTAATAAGGCAGTGTGTTGAATATGCATTCATCCTGTGGAATGAACCACCACAGAAAGATACACGATACCATACACATTCTTTAAGTTTTCTTGTGTTGTTTGCTTTGTTTGTTTTCAAGGCTATCCAGGCTAACTCTTCCTGGGGATTTCCTCGGAGAGAAGAGTGGTCCACTGAGGCTGGTTTGCGTAACTGCTCCTTTATCAAGAGATGATGACTGGCTTTAAAGAAAAATAAAGCTGAAGGTTGTTTGCTTTTTCTTTTTTCCCTTTTGGTTGCATTGTTCCAAGTGTTTTCATATAAACAACAACAAAAAGTCACAAACAACCAAAAAAGTAGTTTTTGATGCATCCAGTGGTTGTTTCCTCAGGATGTTCCAGATGTTTCCAGGTAACTCTGTAATTTACGAACTGTAGTTTTGTCCAGTGAGCAAAGATCAAAATCAAATGTTGTATTTGTGATATGAAAGTGTCCGGTTTCTTCTATAAGGTTCACAATCTGAAGAAGTAAAGAAGAAAAAGTTTGGACAATAAGCAACAGACATCCAAAAGCAAAGAGAAAGATGAAGAGACTCAAACATGGAATCAAGTGATAAATATTCTTAATTATAAGAAGGTCCTATCATGACTCTAGTAGCAAATTGTTAGTTAATTTGGTAACTTAAAGATATATTAAGCCTTTGAAAAATTCTCAAAGGAAACAGATTACCTGTTTTTACTTATTATGCTCAACAAACCACTACAAATCAAGAGAATATTTACTAGGATGGCTAGTTAGGAAGAAATAACCTTTGAACATCATTTTCACAATTATTCACTGACTCAAAAGCCATGAATGTATTTATTAAATGTAAAGAAATTCCAGTCTAGACATAGAAATCTTTTTCAAAAAGAATAAATGAACACACAAAATAATTCTGATTATATGGTTATGAAACATTTAGAAAATATAGGAGTCCATAAAGAAAAAAGAGAAACCATCTACTCCCTTCCCTTAGGATCACAGGTACTAACAAAAGGGGCCCCAGAGAGCCTCTGGGATGCTGGAACAATTCTGTGTTGAATTTGGGTGCTGTTTTCACAAGCCGCATTTGCTTTGTGAAAATTCATCTAACTGTACATGTTATTTAAGAACATAACTTTATTATTTTCTGTTGTATTCAACTAATTCTCCTGAGTAACTTGAGGGTAATAAACTTCACCTAGAGAAAGACTGCCTTTGTCCCCTCATGTTGGAGTAGTTACACTTCATTTCTTATTGTATTGGCTCCAACCTCCAAAACAGCAACATGTTCACGCAGCACTGACAGAAATAATGCTTTTGAGAGGGCATTCCTGGAGCTCAGTGATGACAATGATGTTGTTTTTCAGAGAAATTTCTTTACCTAAGTATGTGTCTACTCTTATGTTCATTAATAATGTTATTAGAAATAGATACTGCACCGGGCGTGATGGTGCAGGCCTTTAATCCCAGCAATTGGGAGGTAGAGGCAGGTGAATCTCTGTGAGTTCAAGGCCAGCCTGGTCTACATAGTGAGTTCCAGAACAGCTGGGGCTACAGGGAAACCCTGTCTCAAAAAGACCAAAAAAAAAAAAAGGCAAAAAAAAAGAAATAGATACTGTGCCTGAGTAGTGTGCTTGTTAAATGAAAACCTTACAGAAATGGTCTGGAGCCCAATTTTCCAAGGCTTATAAGATAGGGCAGATAAAGTAAGAGAAAGGCTGTCCCCACAGGCCTTGGCAAAGTCTCCTACCTGCCTCTCTTGCTCTCTATCACTGACCTCTGTTCGCTTTAGTTTAATTATCTTTAAAACTGTAATGATTTACCCTATGATTTAGTTGGTAAAATTTTAGATTATGTAAAGTACAAAAACTGGAGGACTGAAACTTTCAACCTTTTCTTACAATTAGTTTTCTTCAAAGCATTTGTATTCTAATCCCTGTTGGTCAGGAGCTCTTAATAAAAACGAGCTCCTAATTCCTGATGTTATTTTTACCTTCCACAGATACATAAAAGACATATTAAGTCTCAATCCAATTAATTGTGTACTTCCAGATTGAGCAGCTATTGCCCTGGAACTGTTTTTAGGAGATGAAAATCTGACTTTAATAATAAAACAAGAGACTCCAATGGTAGAAACATGATGACACTGCAAACTGTCTAACATCCATTTACTTTTTTTTTTTTTTTTTTGGTCTTAGCTCCAGCTGGCCTAGAACTTGAAATATAGACCAGTTTGGCCTCAAACTCATAGAGAAAGAGATCTGCTTGCCTCTGCCTCCCAAGTGGTGGCACTAAAGGTGTGCACCACCAGACCCAGCTGCCATTTTACCTCTTTCTTAAAGTTACCATCAGAAGCCTGATTTCCCAAGAATGGCAACATGCCCAGCTGAAATGCCTGCCTACTCAGACCCACTTGTAACACTTGGCAGGCACTACTGTTTCCTTGTTAGAAGTCACTGGGTTTTCAGGAAAACTGCTGAGAACGTTATGGACAATGGGCTTTTATCTTCTATCTTTCTAATCTGCAATGAAGATGCAATGCTCATAACATATGAAAGAAGGCAGAACAAACAGAGGCTACATTCTCAGTAGTATCTTTTAAACTACCAAACTAACCCTGGATTACTTAATTCCAGGTCTACAGGTCCACTGCTATGAGTTAAGGAGTAAGAGAAGGAGGGAGTCTTACCTGAACTTCTGGAGGGTTCTATTACATGTATAAGAAAATTATTATTAGAATGGATGTACACTTATGGCTAAGTACATCATTCATATAGGAACAAACAAGATCTTATTACTAGTCAGACATGGTGGCTAATGCTGTACTTACAGCACTCAGGAGGTTGAGGCATGAGTATTGCAAGTGCAAGGCCAGCCTGGGATGTCTACAATACTGAGATTCTGTCTCAAAAAAACAAACCCCAATTGCTTGCACACAAACACACAATTAACCCAAAACTACCTAAAATTGACAGATATTTGTTTTATTAGTTAACCATTTAGAACTTTAGTCTAAAGTACCACACACATATACATCTACAAACACATACACACAGAAACACGAATACAGATATGTCCATGCATGCAAACCTTCCATAGAAATTAGATACTTAAGATACGGATGAATTAACACTGAGTGAATTAAAGAGTTCTTTCCTAAATGAGCTATTTTTTTTGTTTGTTTTTGTTGCTGCATTCTGTAGATAAACTATAGACCTTGTGAAAACTTGTAGATTTCAGTGTAGGAAGTCAGGTGTAGTAGCACACCTGCAATTCTAGCACTCAGGAGGCTGAGGCAGGAGGATTACAAGTCCAAGGCTTGCCAGGGTTACAGGGTACAATTCTGTCTCAAAGTCATGATCATGATACTTAAAATGGAAACATATTACTTAACAATTTAGAATTTTGATCACGATGAAGAAAATCATCACCAGATTAGGATAGGAACAAATGTCTACTTTGAGTTATTGTAATTTAAAATTTATACAATGGCGTCAAATACTAAGTAGACCAGAGCTTAACTTTCCTCAAACAGTAGTTAAATGCTAGTGGTTAAGTGACAAACTACCAAGAGGAGACCTCTGAATTCAGCACATCAAGGTCTGAATTGCCCACTATTTGAATGGCACCGGAGCATTCGAATATCTAACCCTCCATTCCCCCATAGCTTGCTACACAGATCAAGGCACTAGGGTTATGATTACCACATAAATAAAAACTTGTCCTTAATTACCAGTGGAGGAAACTAAATACATGATTGTCAGGCTTGGTGTGTTCCCTACAACCCTCAATGACTATTGGCCATTTCACTAGCTCTAAAACAAATGAAGCAATAAAAATGTAGAAACTAAAACTCCAGAAAGGCCTAACTGAATTTGTTTTTAATAATTAAAAGTCTTTAGTCAGAGGTAGGAGAACATATGAAGTAAATTTGTTGAAATGACTAAAATTGCAATGTGAGGTAATAAAAATAGCATCTTATTTATTTATTTATCTATTTACTTATTATTTACCCTTTTAGGAAAACAGCTTTCTATGACACAATATAGTTGCCACACATTACTTAACAATACATAGTAAAATGAACAATAAAAATTACCTGTAGAAAAGAGTCACTTTGAATCAAATTTCTGCCCACTAGAAAATCCAACCCAACAGCTCATGTGCACTGTAACATCTGAAAGTTTCCAGTGCTCCCAAGCCAACTCTCTTTTTGTGGCACCACCAAGTCTTACCCTCTTCCTATAGTCACACACACCACACACACACACACACACACACACACACACACACACACAAAGATATAATGGGATCTGATAAATCTAAGAGAAGAGCCCTGTTGTTTCTGTGGAAGTCTATGAGAACATATCATGGTAGATGCAGATATAGACTTAAAGCAGGAGTCAAGGTGACAGCATCTGGGGGAGGTTAGGACTACTTGCCAAAAGGAACAGCATCAATGACTTGAATTATTAGATATTAGATGTCCTCAAGTAAAGGGCCTATAAAGAAAAACAAGTACATGTTCCTTTTCAAGAATCCCAATGGCTGAAACATCAGAAACAGAACATTAGCAAACTTTATTCCCCCCAAAACAGCCCACAGAATCTGAAAATATCCCCACGAATCCCCAAATGACTACACACTGCTGCCTTTCCACAGGAATGCCCTCTCTGCTGATACAGTGTGGCTAGATGGTGTGTATGCTCAATGTGTAGCATCACAATGCTGTCATAATGCCCACACACAGTGGTAACAGAAGCCAGAGAGACTGCAGGTAAGAAAAGCATACAAGGAACAGTGTCCATATGGGCAGTAGGAAAGGCAGAGGGTATAAATGGTTTCCTTCATTCTTCACAGGATGGTCGCTGTGAAAACACTCATGATGGATTATTTCCTGCCACGTTAGCTTTTTAGGGGGTACCACACAGCTGCTGGTTGTTGGTTTTTTTCTTTTGTGTTAACAGCATACTATCCATTTGTTAAATCTGTGGCTCCCTCTGCCAATCCCAGTTTTTAGTTATAAAAAGGTAGATGCATTACTTTTAGTCTGATTGTGTCTTAAAATATGAGGGAGGGAGGTGTTTCTTTCCATGCAAAGTGGCTACTCACTGAGTGGCAAGTCACGAACAAGCTTTGTTTGACTGTTTCTACCTAAAATGCAGCTGGTCTGTTTTAACTCAGGTCTTTCATCTGTGCACTAGGAAACCCTGCTGCCACATGAAAATCTGTGCCTCTCCTGGGTTAGGAAGCAGGGGACCAGGCTCTAGTCTACAAGGGGTTTTAGGACATGACAGGTAATTTCCTAGACAGAAGTAGTCAGTTTAGCAAATCGTTTCACAGAAGGGTTCTCTGTGATGTTAAGAATACTTCAATATGCCACTCATTCTTCAAACCCTGAAGATAATTCTAAAAGAAAAAGAGCTGGTGTCTAAACTGACAAACTGTCCTTTAAAGAAGCCCTGGTTTTTCTCACTCTTCTTTTCCCTTTTTTTTTTTTTTTTTTTTTTTTCCAGAGTAGAATGCAAACTTAGGCTGAACCGAATTGCTGGGGAGGTCAGAAATGCTCACTTTGAAAATAAATATGGAATATGTATTTTAACAAGAAATAAAGTTATTAATCAATCCTAGATATTTACTCTCTCACTCTGACTTTATCTACTGCATTTTTACCCTCTGAAAGAGACTTAATTATACAGTATGTCTTGATCCAGTGCTTTCTGTTCATTAAATTAGATACTAAGAACCAGGACAGCATGCCCCCAGAATAAAACAATGCTTTCAACCAGTTTCTGTGAGCCAAATAAAACTGTCAGACAGGATTTGGGGATAGGGATACATTTAACAGAAAAAGACCAAGGATGCCATTCTGACTCCACCAGAAATTTTGCTTCAGGTGTTCATGTCTGCATGGTAGAAGACACTTACACACTTTGTGGAATGCATTACATGACATGAGCAGCCCTTCAAGGTGGAGAATAACATTAGCCCTCCATAGTGCTATGTTTTACAATAGGAATTAATTAAGCAGTAAACCGTGACAGGACATGCATCATAGTATCAGAAGCACAAGTCTCAGCTGCATTACAAGGCAAATGGCCAAAGACTGAGAGCTTTCAACTGGCCTGGGAATGCAATTAGGGTGAAATGGTGTGTGTCTTGGAGTGCCTTTATGCTAGGTTTAAAATTCATAGATATTACTCTCTCCCTCTAGAATACTAAAATAATTCACTCAGATGGAATTCTCAATAAGCTATCTTACCCCAGAGTTCTCTCAAAGGTCAAAAATAAAGGACAACATTAAATTGGGAATGCTAATGACATTCCAGGGTAAGACCCTACTATCTTTTATGTGTTGTTGGCTATGCTTTCTTTGCAAAGGTGCCCTGAGCCTGCAAAACATCTGTCTCACTCTCCCATGAAATCCACAATTGAGGGCCCATTTGGGCATTAGTAGCTCTACCAGACAACTGTCATGAGCAATTCAGAGTTATTAGTTTGGAACAACATTTAGTCAGTGAGGCCCAAATAATTGGTAAGTGCAGGCAGAACTATTTTCTGGTCTATAAAAGAAAGTTGAAGAAAAAAGTCGTTGTTCCTCTGTACCTGCAGGTTATGTGTCACAACCTACCATGAACTGAAAATCCCTGGGGGAAACCTGCATCTGCACTAAATAAACATGTAGAGATTTTTCTGTCATCATTTCCTAACCAGTACAGGATAACAACCATTTTGTAAGGTGTTTACACTGTGTTAGGTATAATAAGTAACCTAGAAATGACTGGAAGAATGGGAGAATATACATAGGTAATATGCAAATACTCTACCATCTTAGGAGTTAAGTGACATTTGGTATCTGCACAGGGTCTGGAAGCAACGCTCTGCTGATGTGAGAGGCATGGACGGGATGACAGTCAGTCAAGTACCAGACGTGACTTAACACACTCAAATCCGGCTCCCTTCCTATACTCACTTAAAGGAAATGCAAGACTTAAACGTCTCTACAATTAAGAATAGCAGGTTGATAATCAAAACTTTACATTTAAAATACTAGAAGGGTTAAAAGTTTATCAAACCAACAGGGAAAGTTGGCAAATTTGAGAGTATTTACAGATTTAAGCATGAATGTACACAAAATATAAATATGACTATCAGTCATCAACATTTAACAAACAATTCATATACCACTGGAGTAGATTCAATACTAAATTCAAGTCATTTTAAAGTAGTAAAAAAAAAAGTGAAAGAATCTACAAATCTACCTTGGAATTTGGAACACAGTCTTTGAATGTTAAAGGAAAATTAATCAATAGGCACTGTTAATGCAATAAAAGCATGTACCCTATTTGTACAAAAACTAAAAACCACCCTTCTTATCTTCTCAAAACATCACATTGTACTAATAGAAGTTTCCTCATGCTATAAGCATTCCACAGTTGAGTTCATAATAACACAATGCACGCTGTACAAGATAAGGGAAATTAAAGAAATATTTATTTCCCTTAGAATAGCACTGGCAAAAAGGTTACCAAATTGAATCACAAATGTTTATAACACTTAACTCAAATTCTCATCACTGTTTTCCCATGAAACCAGAAGCCTGGTCCTAAAAGTTTCTGGATTCCCTTGTCCCCTCCCTCAGTCCACATTACACCAGCAGTAGGCAGGGGGAGCACTGTATTTAACATCACCTCCAGGAGTACCCAGCTTTTCTGAGTATGGGTGAGACCTCCAAAGTGGACTTCTGGGTGGATTCCGATGTGAATTCTCCCTAGATATTTCCACAGGTGGCACAGGCCCCATTCTGACCATTTGGCGCTGCTGTGGCCTCCACGCTACCACATGTTCCAGAACAAATAGAGCCTCGAGGGTTGAGGGAAGGGTCGTGTTGAAACAGCATTTCTTACCTGCTGCAGAATGTGTCTTTCTCTCAGTGTCATTAACCTTCTGTGGAGTTCTACCAACTCATCTAGGTAGGCCTGGAAAAGTCGGGTATTCCCGAAAGGACAAAACGTTAAGAAGCAGTTAACTAATAAGAACACACATGCAGGGGCTGGAGAGAGAGCTCAGTAGTTAAGAGTGAATATTGCTGTTGCCAAGGAGCTGCTTGGTTCTCAGCACCCATGACAAGTGGCTCACAACTGCCTACAACTCAAGCTCCAAGGGATCCAACACCATCTTCTGACCTCTGTGGGCTCCTGTACTCATGTGTACATACCCACACACAAGACACATAATTAAAAATAATTATTTTTTAAAAAATATATACAAAGCTAAAGGGTCCTCATTCCAGCATGCTATCCTAGTTACACGGATTCAGTGTCTAAAGGCTTCTTCTGGTCAAGTCTCTTGACCTGATCTTGACCTGTATCAAGCCAGCTTTAAAAGAGGGAAGAGCAATTGCTACACCTATCACCAGAACTCGTGAGTACACTTAGCTCCCCACAAGTTCTCTTCAAAAAGTAGTAGAAATTCAATGCTATATTTTCAGTTTAAACTTAGTATTATCACAGGCTACTCTCATTAAAAAAAAAAAATCTTTAACCTCTAAAGATTTTTGATGAAGGAAAAATCTAAGTTTGAACATGAAAATATCAATGTAAACCCCCAACTATGTTAGGACAAACTCTTAATGAAAGAGATAAAAATTGTTCCCCAGCATACCAAACATCGCAATAACTGACTAAGTAACAGAACATTTTATGAAATGCAGAGATCACTACATAAATTCAAGTCTGCATGTGAACAGCTTTTCTAAAAGGGAAGTAGAACCTGTCTTTCCTCATGTTCAGACTTATGACTCACTCCCAGTGAGCATGACAGCATGGTGCCCCAGGCCAGATTTGAGTAAAGGCAAAATGAAGTGTTGGAGAAGTCTGTTTTGTCCCCGCAAGTCCTACCCATAACAGGTGACTGAAGTTTCTCTAGGTGTGGAAGCCTGAGTTCAGATCCATTACCTACACCCTGAGAAGGCTTACTGCACAGGATCAAGTGTCTTGTTCATTTATGCATGGGATTTCTTGACCCCCTACATCCACCACTGTCTTTATTCTTCCCAATTTGATGTACCTGAAGTCCCTTGGTAACGACATCATGACAAATGGTAGCATAAGGCCATACTTAATACTGAAGATATAAGCAAGACAGGAAGAAACGAACTACAAAGCACAGGATCAAGTATTAACTTGGGAATCTTGGTAGTTCTGGTGACCATGGAAGGAGAGCCAGCAAAAATGACCAAGGGGAACACAAAGAAACCACACCATGGCAGGGCTGCGGCGTTCTCAGGAGCAAACTGGAAACCTACCTTGTCACATTCACCATTCTTTATTTGCTTATCAGATTTGCTTTGCTTTATTGGACTTTTCACTTCGAGAATCTAGGGATCAAAGAAAACACTGTTAAATTTCATTTCAAGTACCTGCTAGCTAGCCACCCACATAAACAAAGGCACTCACTGAATGAAATATGTAACAGTGCTTTCCAAACAGCATTTCTCTTCTCTCTCTATTTTTCTTTTTTTGCTTGGAAAAAAAAATAACTTGTATATTAAATGCTGAGTCACAGCAATGGAGCTTAGAAAAAAACGTCGATAAGGAAAGTGATCTAAGCTTCCAAGGGCACTTTTCCTCTTGTGACAATGCTCACATACATGCACAGCAGCCGAGTTATTTTAGATTGCAGAGCCCACTGGCAAGACTTTTTTCTTGTTAATTCTGCTGTTTCAGCATGACTCTGGTGCTTGGTAGGCTGGAAAGATTAAAGAAAAATGATTCTTGTCCCCTCACCCCCAGTCCCTCCTTTTTAGATGTTAGTTGTTCATTCATATCTACTTTACTAAAACAGCTTCTGGAATGAAGGTTGTCATCGGTTACAGTGTGGGACCCTTCAACAGCAGAAATAGTTGTGCTTGAAGAAATGACGTGATTATACGTGGTAAGGCATCAAGTGCCTTTCCTGTCATATTAAGCAACTGCAATTCAACTTATGAGTAATAATTCTACATACTGCTCAGAAGTTTGAGTAAGAAGCTATGTTTATAATTAACAAAGAGAATATTACTATTTAATAAATGCAATAATTCATTACACAGGATCGTTAAAATTAAGGATTCTGAGAGAAATATTTTCAAATGGTCCCAACTTGAAGGGTCTGAGAACCCCTATATTTATTATCGCTGAGTGTTTACAAATGTGCATTAAGGTAAAAAGCAAAAGTTTGTCTGTTTTATTATAACATCATTACTGTCAGTTATAATTAGAAACTAATGTCAAGGAGGAAAACACTAAGAATGTTCTTTAAGAAGTCCCTTATTCCTCCTACTCTTCCCTATACAGCTTCCTCTCCTAACTCAATTGCTATTTTTTAATTTGTAGTGACAAGAGCATGGGATTGGGCAACTCACCTTATCCTTTAACATCTTGGAGCCTCCAAAGATGAAATGAGAGAGACAAACAAGATAATGTCCATACTCCCATTAAGCTATAAAATCTTATACTACTAATAAATAAGTCAACATTTTACTTGTTGAGGACAGGACCATGACATTTTGACAAGAACAAATATTCCTAAATGAAATGTTTCTCTTTGAACGGAAAATAATGACTGGGTAAGCATGTATTCTAGCAGCCTTTCCTGAGATTTTTACTTATTCCTTCATTTTGACATTAAAATGGTCCATTTGACCAGACTAATTTGAAATACAATTCTTTTGGCAACTAAAGATTATTGAATAGCACAACCAAGCCAATAGTTTTTAATATGCTCCACTGTAAAAGAAACAAAAATCTTCACTTCATTCAGAATTTTCTCCTCTTCTGTGTTTGGAAATGAGACCTCAAGGGGGAAATCAGTGCTCAAGAGACCAAGAAGAAGTAAGGTCAGTAGATGGCACTCCTGGCCAACTCAGACACTGGGCTGGTCCGGCAGGGGCAATATACTTGGATTTGAGGCGGGGGGGGGGGGGGGGGGCCCGCCCCCCCCCTTGTGTTGGTTTTTAAGGGACAAAAGTTTTTTCCCCGACACCTCCCCCCCCCCCCGGCACCACCCCCCACTCCCTTG